TTTATAAGATTAACGACAGATGAGAGTAGTTTTTACGGTTTTTAAAAATTGGAGTGGTTTTCATTTGATCGCTTATATATATATATATATATATATATATATATATATATATATATATATATATAGTTGGGTTCTCGTGAGACCAATGATTTTTCGTGAGATCTGTAAGATCAATTTATTTTCATTGATCAATTTTATAAGATAATGATTTAATGGTCTAAAATTGCACGGTGACAATTTTGTGATTATTGAGAAGTCTCGTGGCAATTATGTGATTATGAATGTTCAGATTGTGGATATAATCTAAGGGTTGAGAATTGGTCTTATGGGTCTCATGAAAAACCCTTGGTCTCACATGATCCCAAGTCTCTCTCTCTCTCTCTCTCTCTCTCTCTCTCTCTCTCTATATATATATATATATAAATAGATAAATAAGTTTAAATCAAAACGCCAACTATTTAAGAAAGAAAGAAAAATATTGTTAATATACAAAATCACATATAAAAACGTCATTTTTCTTGTTTTCTTAAATAGTTAGCGTTGTCGTTTGAACTTTCATCGCTCTCTCTCTCTCTCTCTCTCTATATATATATATATATATATATATATAGGGTTAGGTTCCGATACAAGAAAAATTAAGGTGAGACATAAAAAGAGATATCTACCCTTGAGTGCACATAGCATGAGATGCATCGAGATGAGATGAACCGAGATGCACCAGATCAACCCCGTATCAAGTGCAATTCATGCGTGCGTTTGAAGTTAAATGTGATATCAAGGGTCTAGATCTCTCCTTACGCTTCTCATGTTAACTCTCCTTCTCGTGCGATTCTCCACCTAATATGTGTATATGGGTGGAGGTTCAAACGAGAACACCTTCATTTTACGAGAATTCGAGAACACCCTTATCACATGTAATAATACATGTGAGGGGACCTGGTGGTGTGCGGATGATGTGTCATGCTACTAAGGTCACTCCAAAGGTTGTCTACGTCTATGATTTAGTATCACATGTGATGGTGTTGATGAATTATAATATCACATCAAGAACATCTTTATCACATAAGATAATACATGTGATGAGGCTTAGTGGTGTAGGGGCGACTTGGCTTGCAACCTAGATCGCACCGAAAGTTGTCTGCGTCTCTAATTAGCATTAAATGTGTATTATACGCAATGAAATAACAGTATCACATGTGATTGTCTATAGTAAAAAAATGTTCCCGCTTTCTCGTAAAATAAATGTGTTCTCATTTGAACCCTTCCCTATGTATATGGGTTCAAATGGGAACATGTTTATATTACGAGAACACCTTTTTACTATAGTTAATCACAATTGATACACATATGATACTAAATTAGATAAGCGGACGACATGTGGTGCAACCTCGGTTGCGAGCCAAGTTCCCTGTACACTACTAAGCCCCTTCACATGTATTATCATTGATAAAAGTGTTCTTGATGTGATACTATAATTCATCACATGTGATACTAAATCAAAGAAACATACAACTTTTGACATGACCTAGGTTGCAGGACACGATGTCCACACACACACACCAGATCTTCTCACGTGTATTATCACTTGTGATAAGGGTGTTATTGCGTTTTCATAAAATGAGGGTGTTCTCATTTAAACCTCCACCTATATATATATATATATATATATATATGTTTAAAACATTTAAGAAAAGAAATCCATGTTCATTTTTTTCGGTTCATCTTCTCTGGCGTCTGCACCTCCGTCAATGAGATTCCGTAGAACCCATTTGAAGGTTTGAGGATTATAAGGCTATGTTTGGCAAATTAGCTGATGAGTTAGCATTTCGTAAACGGCCCCTAATTCTTACATTTAAAGTACAAGGGACCAAAACAGTAAAGAATTGTAAACCATAAGACCTGAAATAACAATAAATTATAAATCATAATGATGGAAATAACAATAAATTATAAATAATAATGATGGAAATAACAATAAATTACAAATTATAAAGATGAAAATTGCAATTTCTGAACCATAGAAATGAAAATCATAAATTTTAACAAACGACAAATACGAAGAATGTAATTTACTCCAAAATATTACATGTCAATGAATTTATAAATACTAGAAGCGTACCCACGCAATGCATCGAGATAAATCGTGATTTTAATATTTCATTTTATTCTTTATCTCAGTCGATGTTATAATATGACTTTATGTGATTTTGAGAAAACGGTGATGATTTTATTTTTGAATAAAATATATGTTTGAAGATATCATAAAAATTTAAAAAATATATATATATCAATGTTAATGTTAAATCAACTATTTAAAAGTTTTTCATTGTTTATGTAATTTCTTTAATTTATTTTTTTATTATAATTTAATTTAAGTTTAATAATGAAATAATTTATTTTTGGTT